CCTCGCGCGCCCCCCACTGCCTGCTCCTCCGGCTGGGGAGAGAGGGGACTCTCTCCTGCGGCTCCCCCACCTGGGCTCTCCGGGTTGGAGCAGTCTCTCCGGAAGGGGAGGGGGCTTGTCTTGCCTGGGCGAGGTGGGAGTGGAGGTATCCTGCCATGGATGCTGTGCCTGGGAGGCAGCCTGAGCCCCAGTCCACATGGTGAGTAACCTGCCCCCTCCCTTCTGCCCGTCTGCCCATCCGCACCCTCGCCTTTCCCCTGCAGAGCCTCCCCCATCCCCATCCTTCCGCCACCAAACCCTCTGCCCACCTTGCTCCGATCTCCCCCCTACGTTTTCAACCCACCCACACCCCCGACCTTTGCCAGGGAAGCCAAAGAACCGGGGTAGATGGGTCCTGACAGCAGCCAGGGAAGCGGGTGGCTTACGATTCTGCCCAGCCCCCTCTCAGGACCCCCCCCCCCGCAACTGTCATCCTCACTCGATACTTTGGGGTTCCAGGTTGGAGAAGTGGCACTCCTGCTTGGGGTTAGGACCCCAAGCCCTGGGAGGGGCCCTCTACAAGAACGGAGGGATGGGGGAGCCCCGTGCCTCCAAAGCTTAGGAGCTGCTGGAAGATGCTGCTGAAGGGTGGGGGGTTGGGGGGCGGTGCTGAGGCTCCGGAGCCACTGGGCCAGGGAGCGACGGGCAAAGAGGAGGGGCCTCGCTCGCCACTTCCCCCCTCTTTCTCCGCAGCCACTCAGGATGAGGGTCCGGCCCTGCCTGCCCGCGCTGGGCGCCCCCTGCCTGGCCCCGGTCTAACTGCCCCCGCCCCCAGGCCTCGCCCGGCTCCCAGGCCCCCAGCCGGCTTCTCCAGCCCCAGGATGCGCTGAGCCACCGGGGGGGCTGAGGCCGCGCCAACTACATGCATGTCCCCCGGGGGCAAGTTCGACTTTGACGACGGGGGCTGCTACGTGGGGGGCTGGGAGGCGGGGCGGGCACATGGCTACGGCGTGTGCACGGGGCCCGGCGCCCAGGGCGAGTACAGCGGCTGCTGGGCGCAGGGCTTCGAGTCACTGGGCGTCTTCACGGGGCCCGGCGGACACAGCTACCAGGGCCACTGGCAGCAGGGCAAGCGCGAAGGGCTGGGCGTGGAGCGCAAGAGCCGCTGGACGTACCGCGGCGAGTGGCTGGGCGGGCTGAAGGGGCGCAGCGGTGTGTGGGAGAGCGTGTCCGGCCTGCGCTACGCCGGGCTCTGGAAGGACGGCTTCCAGGACGGCTACGGCACCGAGACCTACTCCGACGGAGGTGCGGGGCCCTGCCCACTACTGTCTGTCTGCTCGTCCGCGTGCGCCTCCCCGCTGGCCTGCCCCGCGTATGCCTTCCCCAGCCATACAACCCCCGGTGCCCCGCTGTTATCCTACACGCCTTCCCTATCAATATGCGCCCCTGCGCCCATCTTTCTGCCCTCTCCTCCCGTCATCACACACGCCTTCCTTATTTGTCTGTCCCCTGCCTGATTTTCCCTCTCCCCAATCTGCCTGCCCTCACCCCTTCCCTGTCTGCCTGAGCCTCACACCCCGCATCTACCTAACCCTCACACACACCCTGTCTGCCTGTCCCACACACCTCCCCTCTCCACCTGCCTGTCCCTAACACCTCCGCTCTGCCTGTCCCCTCACATTTCCTCAGTCAGCCCCTGACAGTTCTCTTTGCTTGTCATATGCCATCCATACACCCCCGTCAACCTGTCCCTCACACCCTCTGGAGTGTCTGTCCTTCACACACCCCAGCCTGTCTGTCCCTCCCCCTTTCCCCTGTCTACCTGCACGGCCCTAATCCACGGATCTCCCACTCCCTGCCTGTCTTCCCTCTGCTCTTCCACACCTTCCGACCCCACCTGGCCTGTCCCCGGCTCCTAGTGCCCTTCCCCGACCTCCACGCCAGTTGCCCCCACCTCTCCCACCCGACTCTTAGGCCTCCAGGGGCGCATGGGGCTGGGGGTGGCAAGGAGCGGCGGGTCCTGACTCTTTCCTACCCCGCCCCGCGCAGGGACCTACCAGGGCCAGTGGCAGGCTGGGAAGCGCCACGGCTACGGGGTGCGCCAGAGTGTGCCCTACCATCAGGCGGCGCTGCTGCGCTCGCCCCGCCGCACCTCCCTGGACTCGGGCCACAGCGATCCCCCGACGCCGCCCCCGCCCCTGCCCCTGACCGGCGACGAAGGAGGCAGCCCGGCCTCCGGCTCCCGGGGAGGCTTCGTGCTGGCCGGGCCTGGGGATGCTGACAGCGCGGCCTGCCGAAAGCGCACCCCCGCGGCCGGCGGGTTCTTCCGCCGCTCGCTGCTGCTCAGCGGGCTTCGGGCGGGCGGGCGCCGAAGCTCCTTGGGCAGCAAGAGGGGCTCCCTGCGCAGCGAGGTGAGCAGCGAGGTGGGCAGCACGGGACCCCCAGGCTCCGAGGCCAGCGGGCCCCCGGCCCCGGCGCCGCCCGCCCTCATCGAGGGCTCGGCCACTGAGGTGTATGCGGGCGAATGGCGCGCCGACCGGCGCAGCGGCTACGGCGTGAGCCAGCGCTCCAACGGGCTGCGCTACGAGGGCGAGTGGCTGGGCAACCGGCGGCACGGCTACGGGCGCACCACCCGCCCCGACGGCTCCCGCGAGGAGGGCAAGTACAAGCGCAACCGGCTGGTGCACGGGGGGCGCGTGCGCAGCCTTCTTCCTCTGGCCCTTCGGCGGGGCAAAGTCAAGGAGAAGGTGGACAGGGCCGTCGAGGGCGCCCGTCGAGCCGTGAGCGCTGCCCGCCAGCGCCAGGAGATCGCCGCTGCCAGGTGGGCACCCGGTGCAGAGGCCGCAGCGGGGTTAAGGGGAGAAGGTACCCTGGGGAAAAAGAAGGGGGCGGTGCCTAAAGGAGGACCAAGACACAAGGCCTAGGGCCCGGTGGGGAAGAGCAGGCCTAGGGCCAGGCATTTGTAGCCGTGGGTATTTGAGGTGTTTATATCTGAGGCTACAGGTGGACGTGGGTGTAACTGTGGGTGGCTGGGTATTTGAGGAAAGCCCTGTTAGACTGTAAGCGTGTCTCAGTGTCTTTTGTGGCGATGTGTGTCGTGCGTGGGAGTAGCAATGAGCGCTGCCTTGTGCCGGCCCAGGAAACCTCTTGGAACTCAGACATGTCGCTAGTCTTCCTCTTCTTGTAGCTGATCCGGCCTCCAGGACTCTGCTGCTGGGAGCAGCAGCCCCCGGCAGAGAGACAGGGAGCGTACATTCCTAACCACATCCAAGCCAGCCCACAGTCTGCTATCATTTCAGCCTTAGGCCTTGGGAAGTTCTAGTTTGTACAGCTGATCTATCCACCTGAAAAGATAGTCCCTCTCAGCTTTGTCTCTTCTGCCTCCCTTAACCCAACGGATAAAGGTTGAAGGAGAGGAGACTTGCCTGTAAATGAAATTTTCTTTCTGCAAATCAGATTACATTTCATGCATCAGGAACCTCATTGTCTAAAGCAGTGCAGTCCAGTAGGAATATAATGTAAGCCTAGTACATAATTTTGAATCTTCTAGTAGCTGTATGAAAAAAATACGAAGAAACAAACGAAATTAATTTAAATAATATATTTTTATTTAACCCAATATATCCAAAATATTATCATTTCAACCTAAAATCAATAAGAAATAATTAAGGAGAGATTTTACATCCCCCCCCCCATTTTTCTTAAGTCTTTGAAATCTAATAGGTATTTTGCACTTAGAGTACATCATTCAATTTAGACTAGCCACATTTTAAGTGCTTAATAGCTACATATGGCTTGTGACTAAAGAAAACCAAAAATCTATTTGTAAGGAGTTCATAAGCCCCTGATTTATACAATTTACACATAGGAATTTTTAGATATTGGTTTTTCTTTAAAGGGGAGGGCACAGTTGAAGGATCTTGTTTGAATTTGAGAGTGTTTCAGAGGATGAAAAGTCAAGATATGTCCAAATATGCTTCAGTGAGTTTGTAAAATGGGTGACAAGGGGTGTGTGTGTGTGTGTGTGTGTGTGTGTGTACGTGAGTAAACAGGTCATATCCAGAGTAGATGCCTGAACCAGAGAATGTCTATCTGTAGATATATCCGAGTGTCTGGATGGTTAGAGTCCAGGACCTTAAGCCAGGGAAGGGGGAGGGCAGAGCACCAGGGAGCACTTCAGGCTGGATGGGGAGTGGGCATGTGCAGGAAAAACTGATCTCAGTAGCCAGAAAGATAAGGCAGTGGGAGGAGGCTGGTTGGTCTCCCCAGCAACAGGCCTGGCAAACCTGATTGGCTGCTGGTTGCCATGGAAACAGCAGGGCCCCAGCAGTGGGTGCCTCTGCCAGGTAGCCTGAGCCTGGCCTGATGCCTGAGCACTGACTGGGTCTACTGGCTAGGATTTGATCAACCATACCCTCCAAAGTCAAAAATACAGGACCTTGTCAATGTTGCAGTTTCTTGGCTGCCAACAGAACTCAATGCAACCCAAAACTGTGATCCTCGTCCCCTGCCTTAAACTCTGAGACCAGTTCAGTTTCAGGACAGGGCTAGGCATATAGATCCTGAAAGCCCTAAGACAGAAGAGCAGGGTTATCTGAGATCCCTCCAAGCAGGTTCTAAAGGTCTTGACCCACCAGGTTTGAGGGGAGGAGGCTGACCATATCTCCCAAGGTATATAGACCTAAGATGACAGGCGACACCATGACCCTTCTCGCTACCCCCATACCCAGACTGCTTTCTTAGGCCAGATACAACAGGCCCAGGGCCAGAGGGAGTCATGGGTCTTGATGCATTCAAGCCCCTGGCAAGTATATCTGATTACCTCTACCTCTGATCCCTTACGCCCCACCTTCAGTCAAGATTACAGAACTAATTTAGTAATCACAAGGCATGGGGTGGGATAGGGAGGGTTGGAGGGAGACGCAAGAGGGAGGAGATATGGGGATATGTATACGTATAGCTGATTCACTTTGTGATACAGCAGAAACTAACGCACCACTGTAAAGCAATTATACTCCAATAAAGATGTTAAATAATAATAATAATTACAAGGCATCTATGATTAGCAGCAGAAGGTAAAAGGGAAGGGAAAATTGAGGAAACATCTGACATCTGATGGAGAATTGAGAAAAAACAGAGGGGAAAGGATTGATAATGCTTCCAGGTTACCTGTAACTAAGGAGCAGAGCAGGGTTGAAGGGGGGTTGTGGAAGGGAGATTAAGAGCTCACCTCTTAGAAGGTGTAATCACAATGGTGAGAAAGAATGCACAATGGTGAGAAAGAATGTTAGCAGGGAGAGGGAATAGATAGTAGCAGAAAGGGGAGACCCACCCTTACTCCAGTTCCAGAGCTCAGAAATGAGGAAATGGGGCGGGGGGCAGTGGCAGTGATGGGGGCAGGGAGAACGATGTGATAACAGAAGTGGCTGAAGAAAACAAGATGTAAAATTCTCATAACGAGATGTAGCAACACAGCAAAGAGGCATAGCTTGTGAGCACCACGCAGGTGCAGCCGCAGAGAGATGTGCGAAGAGAGTGAGGCCTTATTTGTCACTGGGAGGGAGCAGGACAGGGATGGAATAACAGAGTTGAGGGCAGTGGGGAGGGCCTGGCCCTGCAGCTGGAGGAAGGGAAGTGTTACTACTGGATGGAATGGTGGAGGGAGTGAGAGAGGAGCAGGAAGGTGTGATGACAGCAAGCGCGGCCCAGATCCAGGGGAGGAAACCGAGGGCCAGCTGCCCTGCCAGGGAAGGGGAGCAGCTGGCAGAGTGTGAGCAAGGGTGAGGAGTCCAGAGGTGAGCTCAGATCTGGGGGGTGTGATGCAGTGGGGACCTGGGCCAAGGGACTGGAGTAGGTCTGTTAAGACAGTGTCCCTGGAAACCAACAGGGCAGCAGACGCCCTTCTAAAGGCAGTGGCAGCCAGCAGCGTCGCCGAGAAGGCTGTGGAGGCAGCTCGAATGGCCAAACTGATAGCCCAGGACCTGCAGCCCATGTTGGAGGCCCCAGGTGAGGCGTGGGCAGCCTGGGGCGGGGCCGGGGGAGGGGGTGGCTTCCTGGGGAGCTGGGGGGCCTGGGCATGGAGAAAGGGGAAGGGAATCCCTGCAGGGGACTGGGGCGGGAAAGGCCAGGGTATGAGGATCTAAGGGGACAGGGGGTGGGGACCAGGCCCAGTTGTTTGAGGAGCGAAGTAGGAATTTATGAAATAGGGTCATAGGACTAGGGGGTTGGGGTCTGGCAATGAGAGGCTGTAAACCTGGGGGTACCAGAGTCCTGGGAGGCACCCAGGCAGGGGGATAAAGCTGTAGCTTCTGCAGCCCAAGGCCAGCTCGTCCCCTCTGATTCTTAGCTATCCCTGCCCCAGGCCGCAGACCCAGGCAGGACTCAGAAGGTTCTGACACAGAGCCCTTGGATGAGGACAGCCCTGGGGTGTACGAGAATGGACTGACCCCCTCAGAGGGCTCCCCTGAACTGCCCAGCAGCCCTGCCTCCTCCCGCCAGCCCTGGCGACCCCCTGCCTGCCGGAGCCCACTGCCTTCTGGAGGGGACCGAGGTCCCTTCTCCAGCCCCAAAGCTTGGCCTGAGGAGTGGGGGGGCCCCGGTGAGCAGGCAGAAGAACTAGCTGGCTATGAGGCAGAGGATGAGGCTGGGCTGCAGGGGCCAGAGCCCAGAGATGGCTCCCCACTCCTCGGAGGCTGCAGCGACAGTTCCGGAAGCCTTCGGGAGGAGGAAGGGGAGGATGAAGAGCCCTTGCTCCAGATGAGGACCCCAGGGCGCTCGGAGCCGGAGCCCACAGCCTTGCCAGCCCTGAGGGGCCTGTCCTCGAGGGGTCCCGAAGCCGGGTGCCTGATGGAAGAGGCTGAGGAGGCCGCTGCGTCCGAGAGGCCCGCCCAGCCGGTGAGAGACCCTCCCCTCCGCCACTCTGCCCTGTGCCCTCTGAGTCTCCCGTCCTTCCTGGTCCCTCTTCTCAAAGCCTGGCCTCTCATCCTTTCCAGACCTCTCTCTGATCCCCTGAGGAGCTTTGATTTGCACTTAGCTTCCTTTTTGCCTGCCTAGTCTTGGACTATATCCCACCTCAAAAAATTAGAGAATTTGCAAGCTGGAAGGAACCTCAGAGACCTTCACGTCCAACTCCCTCATTTGACACACGGGAGGACTGAGGCACTTACAGTAACTCACCAAGGTTACGAATAATTAACAGTACAGCCAGAACATCTTTGCCTGCTCTCCTTTCATATCATTTCCGGCTCCTGGTTTCCTACTCCACCTCCACCCCCACCTCCACACTTTCTCTCTTTGGTGCCCAGAAATAAAAAAGGAAAAGCTTGTTCCCTCCCTACCCTGATTCTCCCTCCCTCTCCTGGGAAGAAGAGAAATAGGGAAGAAGGCAGAAAACTGGGAGGGGTGGAGTTTCCCCAGTACCCTCCACTCTGATTGGACTCCAGGCCTTCTCCTGTTTCCTAGCAACCACATCCTCACCCCTTCATCCCCTCTCTGCTTCACTGCAGTAAAGGCTGCTGCTGCCAACGTCTGATACTAAGGCCAGGCACCTTCTGCCTGGGCCACGTGCTGCAGGGAGGGGAGTGGAAGGAGAAGGGAGGATGGGCTGACTTGAGGGAGCCGGAGGGAAGGTGGGGCCCTGCCTGGGAGCAGAGGAATGTTTTGCAATCCAAAGCAAAGGTTGGAGATTTCCCTGCTCTGGCCTCTGAGGAGAGGTGCCTGGGACCCTTCTGCTTTGCCACCTCAGCCAGGGCAGGAAGGTGCGACCATCGCTGGACCCGGTCCTCAGGCACTGAGACTGCATTTTCCCCCATCTCTCTAGGGAGCTGCCAACCCGTTGGTGGTGGGAGCCGTGGCCCTCCTGGACCTCAGCCTCGCATTCCTGTTCCCCTAGCTCCTCACCTGAGGCTCCTGCCTGGCCTAGTTCTGGCTTTGGTTTGCTGCCTCTTCACTCTTCTGACCTGCCTTTTTCTCTTTTCTTCCTCCTGGTTGTTTTTTCTCCTTTCTTTCTCCCTTCCCTTTCTTTTCTGTCCCCCTCTGGTTTTCTCTCTTGTTTTTTCTTTCCCTCTCTCCTTTCAGATTCTCTCATTCCTTCTGGCTCTGTCTCCATCTTCCTCACTCCCTTCCCCACCCACTCCTTCTCTCTCCCTTCTCTCTCTCTCTCTAGATTGTTTACATATGAAGGGCTTTTCTCGCTCAGAGTCGCTCTCTTCTCTGAGACACACAATTCTAAGTCAGACCATTGCCCCACACCCTCCCTGCCTTTTCTTTAGACCTGAACTTGGATGAGGGTTGGGGTTTGGTGTCCTGAGGAGTCTCCCAGAAGCTGAGCAGAAAGGAAGGAGAAAATGGAGAAGGGGTATACTCTATACGGGAGAAGACTGTATCCTGGGCGAGACACTGGCCGTGCTGCTGTGACTCCCTGACCCAAGGGGCCTGGCATCCCTCTGAGGCCTAGTGATAAAGCTGGAGGGGGTGCAGCCTCCATCTCTGACGTTGGAGGATCCTATCTCACCTCCAAGCACTGAGCTAGGTTCTTGCCGAGCTCCATCCTTCCCTGAAGGAGATGAGGGGAATGAAAAGTAGAATGGCTCCCCAGCATCTTCTCCCTCTTTCTTTCTTCAACAGCCAGCCCCTCATCCAACCCCCTAGGGTGGCATGCCATGTCAAGAGCAACGTGTAAAGAAAAGAAAATGTCCAATGCGGCCAAGCCCACCCTCTCCCACCTTTCTCTCTCCCCCTAAAAGTTTGTTTGGTTGGTCTGGACTCACGTGTGGCCTTTGATTAAATTTCTAAGGGACCTGAAGGAGGCATTTCTACTGCAGAGGGTTAGAGGCACCTGAGCAAGGACCCCACTCCCCAACTCTGGCAGTAGTGGCTGGGAAGGCATTTCTGGAGAACAAACCAGACAAGCCAATAAGAATTCACAGGGCAGCAGAAGCTGTTTAGAAGTCCCTAAGTGGGTTATATCCCTTCCCCCATCATATCAGAATCTTGTGAAATGGGAAACCAACAGAAGGAGGGGATCAAAGGAAGCCAGTCTCTCACACACTTTCCAGGCACAGCAGAGGTGAGAGTCAAACCCGGGTGAGAGGTGGGTGGAGAGCCCTGTTTGAGGTTGTGGCTGATCCCTGGTACTAGCTTTTCCCCTGGGGGCAGGAAGCCCTAGGAAGAGGGTACTGTAGGGTCCCCAGAGGATCTTTCCTCCCTCCCCTGCATGAGGCAGAGGCAAGCTGCCTGCCAACCCCCTCCCTCAAGGAATGGCCTTGCCTGGGAATGCCCACCACACACAAACTCTTCTTTTTTTCTAGTCAAACTCTGTTTACTCCTTGGCCTGCCTCCCTCTTCCTCCCCTCTCAACCTTTACTTCTAATTTGTATTTCATGGAATTTGGGATTGAAGTTAAACTACAACAGTGCCACCAACACCAAGTCTTGCAGGAAAAAAAATATACAAAGAAATTTAACAAAAAAAAAATATATTAATAAAAAATTTCAAAAAAAGGGGGGGGAAATTGTCCTCTCCTTTGGGTGTGATGCCTTGAAACCAAGCTCTCAGAGGCTCTCCGGGTAAAGGAGCCCTCTTGGGGACCCCCAGGCCTGTTATTACACTCTCGCCGGCCCTAAATAGTTGAGCTGTTACCCCTCAACTCCAAACCAGGAAGGCCTGAGCTAGAGGATTCAAGACTGCTCTGCTGGTCGGCCCAGGAGGGGCGGGGTCCCGTGATGGGGGCGGGGAGAGGGAAGGACCAGACCAAGTCCCAGCGCTCGCCGGGGCTAGTACCAGGAAGCGCTGTGGGGAGAGGAGCGGAGTTGAGACTGAAACCAGGTGAGGCTGGCGTTAGGGCTGGCGTCCTGGTGCGGGGAAGCTGAGGCCGCCTGAGAAGTGAACGGCGGTTCCGGAGGAAGAAACAGCGCTGGGCTCTAGAAGGAAGGGAATGGATGACCTAGAGATGGGAAACCAGGTGTAGACTGAGGGAAAAGGGGTGGGGCAGGGGGGGGGGAAATAGGGGGGGTTCCGGCGCATGCTCGGTAGCAACGGGCGTGGAGTGGGGCGGCGACGCATGCGTAGTGGAGGTCTCCTTCCGCGGTGAGGAGGGGGCGGAATTTGGGGACCCGCGTGGGGAAAGGGCTCAGTTTTAGGGTAGCGGTGGGACCCAAGCCCTCAGGAACTTGGTACAGGGCAAGCCTGTGCAGAAAGGCCAGACGCTTCCAGCCAGAGGGTTAAAGCCCTCTCCGCTCCCGGGCTTTGCCCCCCAGGATGGTGGCGTCCTCGTCCTCGCTGAAGCTTCAGGATCTAATCCAGGAGATTCGTGAGGCCAAGACCCAGGCCCAGGAGCGGGAGGTGATCCAAAAGGAGTGCGCCCACATCCGGGCCTCCTTCCGCGATGGGGACCCTCTGCACAGGCACCGCCAGCTGGCCAAACTGCTCTACGTCCACCTGTTAGGCTACCCCGCCCACTTTGGACAGGTACTGGGCAGGGACGCCTCCCTTCTAAGTTTGATGAGAGAAGCTAGTGGAGCACCGTCTCGGACCCCCTCACCTATTTGTGCCCCGATTTCTTTATTCTACAAAGTTTCTGAGCCCTCACAGTATGCACCGCAGACCTCCTTCCGCAGTATAACCCCAGCTGGTCATCAGCTGGACTGAACCCTTCATTCTCTGGCCAGCGCCATTCAGGGCACTTCCTCCTCTCTTCCCACCCTCCTGTTTCCTTGAAACCACCCACTAACTGAATCTCCTAGACCTCTCTTCTTGTTGACGGGAGGGTCATGGGATATGCTGCCCTCACAGATTAATCTGGTGTAAAGGAGGAAGATGGAAAAGGGACGTTAGTGCCTCTGGTTTCACCCCTGCCCCTTCCTGGTCTGACCCCTTCCCTGTAGATGGAGTGCCTGAAACTGATCGCCTCCCCCAGGTTCACAGACAAGAGGGTGGGCTACCTGGGGGCCATGCTTCTACTGGATGAGAGGCAGGATGCCCACCTGCTCATTACCAACAGCATCAAGAAGTGAGAGAGTTCTGGGAAGCACTTGGAATCAGGGAGATGGGAGAGTGGGGAACTGGGAAATCCCAGGGGGTTGCCTGCTGTAGGTACTGGGAAGGGCTGGATTTTTCTGAGGCTTGACTGACCATCCTCCCAAAACTGTGCAGTGACCTGAGCCAAGGGATTCAGGCTGTACAAGGCCTGGCCCTGTGCACTCTGAGTGCCACGGGCTCTGCTGAGATGTGCCGGGACTTGGCCACTGAGGTGGAGAAACTGCTCCTGCAGCGTAGCGCCTATGTGCGCAAGAAGGTGAGATGGCAGGTTCTAGGCACTTGCGCCTCCAGAAACTGTCCCCTGTCTGCCACGTGGCAGAGGTGTGGAGGGCGGTCCATCCCGGCAGACCCCTGCCCCTTCTGAGACCCCTGACCTCTGCAGGCTGTTCTGACTGCAGTGCACATGATCCGGAAGGTCCCTGAGCTCTCCGACATCTTCCTCCCACCCTGTGCCCAGCTGCTTCACGAACACCACCACGGTAAGGCCGTGGGGCTCCTCGTCCCCTGCCTCAGCTCTGGCTGTGGACAGAAGGGAGACACAGGATGGGAACAGCAGCTCCTAGGAGAAGGGTAGCACGTGCACACAAACACACGCACGTAGTAGACTCCCCTGTGCCCCTGCCCACCACTCACTTCCCCCACCCTGACCCAGGCATCCTGCTGGGCACCATCACGCTGATCACGGAACTCTGCGAACGAAGACCTGCAGCCCTCAAGCACTTTCGAAAGGTGGGCTGGCGACGGGGCGGGCCCCGGGCCAGGAAGAAAAGGGCAGTAGGGTTGGAATGGGGCTGAAGATTGAGAGGATTGGGAAGAATGCTCAGACCAGGCACTGCCCTCCCTCCAGATGGTGCCCCAGCTGGTGCACATCCTCCAGACTCTGGTGACGACAGGATACTCCACAGAACACAGCATATCTGGAGTCAGCGACCCCTTCCTGCAGGTGGGCTGACCCTTCCCTGCTATATCCCTAGAACAAAAAGCTTAGTAAGCCCATGGCCAGTGGTCACTTCCCAGAGAACACTTGGGCTCAGTCAGTGTCTTGGGCGGGAGGGTGGCAGGCACCAGGTTCTCCCAGGACCAGTATGGGGAGGGGGATGCCTGAAGGCCAGAAAATCCAGTTTGGTAACAATATGTTTAAAAAGCCTGTCCTCAAATCCCCTGGCCTCACACACCTCTGAACCCCTCCCAGGGCCCAAGGGACCAGTGGAGGTGGGGGGAGGGCCAGGGAGGTTCTGGGGAACCAGCCAAACCCCTCACAATGCGCTCCTCAGTGCTGGACTTTTCTCCTCAGCCCCATGACTCCTCCCCCTAAGAACCACCCCCCCCCACAACCTTTAACCCAATTTCAGGTCCAGATACTTCGTCTGCTTCGGATTCTGGGCCGGAACCACGAGGAGAGCAGTGACACCATGAATGACTTGCTGGCCCAGGTGGGGGTGGGGTTGCCGGTTAAGTGTGTTGCTCTGTGATCCCACTGGCCCTGCGCATCCCTCACGTGACCACTCATCATGCAGTGGCTATATGATAACGTCTCCATTTCCCTCTGGACCGGGATCTCCCTGAGGACAGGGACACAGTCTGTTTCAGTGCAGTAGCCCCTGGCACATAGCGGGAGCTCAGGGAACCTTGTTAGCTGTTTGAGGGATGATATGATGGAGACCTTTCAGAGACCTGAGGAGAGGACGGAGCCCCTTAGAGATGCATCTTCTCTCACATCCACGCAGGTAGCCACGAACACAGACACCAGCCGAAATGCGGGCAACGCGGTCCTGTTTGAGACGGTGCTCACCATCATGGACATTCGCTCTGCAGCAGGCCTGCGGGTACCCTCCCGTATGCCCTCCCCCCTGGGGCCCCTCCCACCCACCCCAGCCAGGCAGAAAGGTCCTGTTCACTGGTTTCTCCTCCCCACCCTGGTCATCCTGTGCCACGCAGTCCCCACTCCTGAATGAGCAGGTTGCTCCTTCCCTGACTGTCCCCAACCTCTGCCTCCGTAGGTTCTAGCTGTCAACATTCTTGGCCGCTTCCTGCTCAACAGTGACAGGAACATTAGGTAATAGGCCCAGGTGTCTGGCTGGGCTGTGTCACTGAGCCCTGGGTCCTCTGTCCTCCTTCTTCCAGAGTCTCCGGATTCACCAGCCTCTTATTCCTATACCCACGGCAGGATGGGGTGGGGGAGGGCTGACGGCCATGGCATGACAGGGCCTCTCCTGCTCTGGCCAGGTACGTAGCCCTGACGTCCTTGCTGAGGCTGGTGCAGTCTAATCACAGTGCTGTGCAGCGGCACCGCCCCACCGTGGTGGAATGTCTGCGGGAACCTGATGGCTCCCTCAGCCGGTGAGCAGGACAGAGGAACGAGAGGGCAGGGCAGAGGGCCCAGCACCTGGTGGCCAAGACCCAGGCCAGCTCAGAGCAGCTGGAGAAAGTGGACTAAGGAGACAGGTGCCTGGGGAAGGGGGGGCCTGAGGCATGTCATAGGGTGACCTGGGTTACCTTGTATAAACACACATCTCTCCTGCCAGGCGGGCCTTGGAACTAAGCCTGGCTCTGGTGAATAGCTCCAACGTGCAAGCCATGACACAGGAGCTGCAGGGTTTTCTGGAGTCCTGCCCCCCTGATCTACAGGCCAACTGTGCCTCAGGCATCCTGCTGGCAGCAGAGAGGTGAGAGGATGGGTGCCCAGGAGGCAGAGAGGGTGGAATCCAGGGACCGTCAGCACCAGGACTGAAGAGCCATATGTCCCCTAGGTTTGCCCCAACCAAGCGGTGGCACATAGACACCACCCTACGTGTGCTGATGACGGTGAGGCAGGGGCTGGACTGAGAGCTGGGCGGGAGCGTGCAGGGTTCACCACACTGACTCAGCCACGTTCACCCATCCAGGCAGGCACCCATGTGCGTGATGATGCAGTGGCCAACCTGACCCAGCTGATTGGGGGCGCCCAGGAGCTCCATGCCTACTCTGTGCGCCGTCTCTACAGCGCCCTGGCTGAGGACATCTCCCAGGTACTGCTCCCACCACCAGGCCTGGGGCTGCCCAGCCCTTCCTGGGCCACCTGCTCCATATATCTGATTCCCAACTGTTTTTCCCTCAGGGTCACAGCTCTCTACTTAGCAGAGGAGACACTCAAAGACAGAGCCCTGTTTGTAGTTAGAACACCTGGACTTCTGTCCTGGCTCTGACAGCTACTGTCTGTGCAACCACAGATGACTCATTTACCTTCATGCTAGGTCTGCTCAGCATTCTACCCTGCCTGTCTCCTGGAGCTGCCTTGATCAAATGAGATAGATAAAAGCTCTTTCTGCATGTATTAGGTTTTGCCTTTTTTTTTTTTTTTTTTAATGTGGGGTCTTAGTTCCCCAACCAGGGATCGAACCCGTGCCACCTGCATTGGAAGCATGTTATCTTAACCACTGGACTGCCAGGGAAGTCCCCCATAGGTATTTTTTTGGCTGCATTGGGTCTTTGTTGCTGCACGTGGGCTTTCTCTCTAGTTGCAGCGAGCGGGGGCTATTCTTCGTTGCGGTGTGTGGCTTCTTATTGCAGTGGCTTCTCTTGTTGTGGAGCAGGGCTCTAGGGTGCACAGGCTTCCGTAGTTGTGGCATGCGGGCTCAGTAGTTGTGGCTCATGGGCTCTAGAGCACAGGCTCAGTTGCTCCGCAGCATGTGGGATCTTCCCGGGCCAGGGCTCAAACCCATGTCCCCTGCATTGGCATGCAGATTCTTAACTGGTGTGCCACCAGGGAAGTCCCTGGTTTTATTATTACCTTGAATGCTGAGTGAATTCACAGATGCCAACCAGTATCTATAGCCCCCTTTCCATATTACTTTAGTAGGCTAGGCAGAAACCACCCGCCCCTTCCTCAGGGGAGGACCCCCCCCCAACTTCTCCCCATCCTTGCTGCACCCCTTGTGGTTAGGCCATGTAGGTTTGTTTTTGTTTTTGTTTTGGCATTACTTTCTGAATTTTATTCTAGGATATTTTTTTTAATTGAAATATAGTTGATTAGTTTTAGGTGTGTGAGGTGTGTTAGTTTTAGGTGCACAACAAAGTGATTTGTGTTATACATACATATTTTAAGATTACTTTCCATTATAGGTTATTACAACATATTGAATATAGTTCCCTGTGCTATACAGTAAATCCTTGCTTCTTTATTTTACATATAGTAGTTTGTATCTGTTAATCCCATACTCCTTATTTATCCTTCCCACTCCCCCCTCCCCTTTGGTAACCATAAGTTTGTTTTCTATGTCTGTGAGTCTGTTTCTGTTTTGTATATAGATTCATTTTTATTACTTTTTAGATTCCACATACAAGTGATATCATACAATGTTTGTCTTTCTATGTCTGGCTTAATTTAGTACTATAATCTGTAGGTCCATCCTAGGCCATGTAGTTCTGAAACTTGGCCACCAGAGGGCAGAGGAAGCCCAGGAGCCAGGACAGAGCTGGGAGCAAATTAACAAAACTGCTCATAACTGCTCCCTGTGCTGAGGCCCCTCCCTTTCCCCACCCCTCCAAACTCCACCATCTCTGCACTGCCTAAAGGGTGTCACGGGGTCTGGAAGTGAGGAGGGGACATAGACACAGGCCCATCGTGTTTCTCCCACGCAGCAACCGCTGGTGCAGGTGGCAACCTGGTGCATCGGGGAATACGGGGACCTCCTGCTGGAAGGAAGCTGTGAGGAAACTGAGCCCCTGCAGGTAGGTCCTGCGTTGGGGATGCACTGAGGAAGGACATATCAGGGGAGGCAGGGCTGGCCCCAGGGTCACTCCCTGTGTCCCCCTGGAAGGTGAAGGAAGAGGAGGTGTTGGCACTGCTGGAAAGGGTGCTGCAGTCCCATATGTCCCTGCCGGCAACCCGAGGATATGCCCTCACAGCCCTCGTGAAGCTCAGCACCCGGCTCCGTGGGGACAACAAGTAAGAGTGGGTCCCAACCCCTCCCACAGAGCCTCTTCTTGGTGCCTCCATTGAGAGATGTCCCTTCACTGTGCCCCCCCCGTTTCTGAGTTTCTGTCCAGGCCCACACCCTGATCCCCACTCCTCCGTCCTTAGCTCCTTCCTTTTGAGCCAAGAATCATGGGTATCTCCGTGGTCTGTGGGGCCTCTTCCTTTCTTGCTGCATCCTGAAGGTGAAGGGCATGGCAGACGACCCTTCCCACTCACGCACCACCCTGCGGCCCAGCCGCATCCGCCAGGTTGTGTCCATCTACAGGAGCTGCCTGGACGTGGAGTTGCAGCAGCGGGCGGTGGAGTATAACACCCTCTTCCGGAAGTATGACCACATGAGGTGTGCGCGGCTGTCTGCCACAGTGTGGGACCCAACCCCTGGCCCACTCCCCACTGTCCCTTTCTGGGTGCAGGGGTCTCATCCTCACCTGTGTCCTTCCTCATCCAGTCAGAGCCTCCTACTCACAGTTCATTGAAGCTAAGTGGGCTTCCCACCATCCTTGTTCATCTGAAGGCCAGCAAGACTGTGCCGCCTTAGGAAATCAGAGGGGCACTTCTGACCCACCATGTGCCCAGGACTCCCCATGTTCTTACCCCTCCTCCCACGTGCCTCTTGTGCAAAGCCCAGGGTCTACCCAGAGGGATACACCTGCATTCCATCCTCCCAGGGCTGCCATCCTGGAAAAGATACCTCTTGTGGAGCGAGGTGGCTGTCAGGTTGATGAGGAAGCAAAGGAAAGCAAAGAAACAGCCCAGCTTTCGGAAGCAGCCCCCGTCCCCACAGAACCCCAGGTGAGGAGGCCAGGAGCCCCAGGGGGAAGAGCATGGTCCAGCTTCCATACCCAGCCCTGACACTTCTGCCCTCTCCCCCAGGCCTCAAAGCTCTTGGATCTGTTAGATCTCCTGGATGGCCCATCTGGGGACGCCCAGCACCCTCCCCCTCTGGATCCCACCCCAGGAGGCACTTTGATACACCTCCTCAACCTTCCCTGTGCTCCCCCACCCCCTGGTAAGCCTCAGCAAAGGGGAGATGTCTTAAAGAAGGGGCAGTGGAAATAGGCTGCTTCCCCTTCTAAGCCAAGGACTGAGGTTGATACCCTCTTCCCTGCTGTGTACCCCCATCACATCCCCATCTTAGTAAAAGGCTTCATTACATCATGCCAGTCTCCTCCTGGACACCCTCCAGTATCTTCCCTTTGTTCCAGACTTCTTACCCTGGCCTGCGGGCCCTGCTTCCTCCCTGCCCACCTCACATGCTTTCCCACTACCCGCTCCACTGGCCCCCTCTCAGCTCCTCAAGCCCTTGGCGTTCCTATTCTTTTCACATGGAATGTCCTTTCCCCAGCACATCAAAATGACTGGCTCATTCTCAATCTTCAGGCCTCAGCTAAACTGTCAGATGCCTTCCCCTACCTCTCCGATTTAAAGTTAGTTCCCCCCAGTTATCCTGGCATAGTCTGTTTCCTTCAGAGCACCAATTACAGTCTGTGATTATCTTTCTTGTTTATTGTTTCTCTCCCCACGACTAGGCTGTAAGCTCCATCAGAGGCCGCATCTTATCCACTCTGTCACTAGCATCTCGAGCAGGGGGCCCTGCACCCAATGGGTGCTCGTTTAATTTTTATTGAATGAGTGAACTGTTATCTTCAGCCCATACACTGAGCCGGTTCTTTCTCCCTGCTGTAGCTCCCATCCCAAATCTCAAAGTGTTTGAGCGCGAAGGACTACAGCTGAATCTTTCTTTCGTTCGACCCCCTGGAACCCCTACTTTGCTGTTAATCACTGTCACTGCCACCAACACCTCAGGGGGTGATGTCACCCACTTCATCTGCCAGGCCGCTGTGCCCAAGGTTTGGAGAAGACTGGGATTCAGAGGTGGCCTCGGTACTCTAGGAGAAAAGGCCACTAAGTAGAGGAAGTGGGTGGGGGAGAGGATGAGATGAGAAGGGAGTGACTTGCAGAGACAGGCACTTGGGGAGTTATGGGAAGAGGGTTTAAAACTATTGGGTGTGGAGGGGTTACCTGAGGCCAGCCAGTTCCCTGCCGTGTGCTCCATCCAACCTCCTGTGTTCAGGGTTTCCAGCTGCAGCTACAGGCTCCCAGCGGGGACACAGTTCCAGCGCAGGGTGGCCTTCCAATGACCCAGCTCCTCAGAATCCTCAATCCTAAGAAGGTGAGCTCCAGGAGCCCCTCGAAGCTAAGACCCAGTGAAGGGGGAGTCACTGGCGCTTACCCTGGTCTCTGCTCTCCTATTCCTAGGCCCCCTTGCGGCTGAAGCTGCGCCTCACCTACAACCACTTTGGCCAGTCGGTGCAGGAGATCTTTGAGGTGAACAACTTGCCTGTGGAGACGTGGCAGTAACTCGGCCTCCACTCACAGCCTGAAATCCTCCTGTGTCCCCAAACCCAGGGGAGCCCTATCTGAGGACAACCAGCAGGTGGCACTCTGGTCCTGTACTTGCCACTGGGGTGGGGGGGCTGCCCCCAGCCCTACAAATAGTGAAAGCCCAATAAAGCCTGAGGGGGGAAGCCATATTTGAGGTAGAAAACGTATGTGAATCACAGCCAGGGAAGAGCCTTCTTACACAGGAAGTAGGTATCTTGCCCTAAGCCTTTGGAACTGGTTTCAACAAAGGAAGGTTTTCTTTCTACCCCTTTCCAGGTTGGGGGACAAATGTGCCCCTAAACTTCCACAGGAGGCACTCTACCCTCTGGGCCAGAGCAGGGCACAGGGGCAACATCAAACCAGAATTTCTAGATTTCTAACAGGGACTCCTACCCATTTCCCCAGCCTTCTGCTATTCCCCATACCCCAGGGCAGGGAAATCCCTGCTGCCTCCCCTCATCTCTAACTCAGCTGTAAGGCGGTTTCGGAGCCGCTGGCAGAATCAATGGCATCGACCAAGGGAGGGAGGGTGGCAAGGGATTTTCCTGTGCTTAACTACTGATCACGGCTAAGTGGAAATCCTATAAACACGAGCGGAAATCAATGGAGGCTGCTTAGCGGCCAGGGGAGAGGGGCGGCCCACAGATTGCATCTGACGGATGAGGGAGAGGGGGCAGCCAGGGAGGGCTCCAGGAAGGATAGCGGAGGGTAGGGGGAAGGAACAGGCGGAGCTGGAGAGAGAGGTCACTGTGGGAAGGGAAGCCAGAGAGGAAGAGGCACAGTGAGCCCAGGAATGAACCTCATTCGACCCAGAGCTTTCTTCCCCATCGGGCAAGTGACACCCTAGCCCAGTGTCACGTCTGGATCTTCCAGTCCCCTAAGGCTTCTCTTTGGCGCGGTACACTTCTAGCAGGCGCTGATAGTCCTGAGGCCGGAAGCGCTGTAGGTACACAATCAGCTTGGCAGGTGCCGTCTCCTGCGCCAGCACACCTACAGGCAAAAGGAGAATGAGTAGAGAAGCAGACAGAGCTGAAAATGCTTTGACTCTCCCTGCCCACGCAGCTGGACCCCAAAGTTGTTTCCAAGGCAGCACTGGGATTCCGAACGCCGTCCAACCAGCTTCTCTAACTCGCCAGCCCACTCCCTGATTAGCCTAGGGAAGCGGGGCCTAAGAGGGCCACTTGAGGCAGGAGTGGGCCTGGGAAGCCAAGCATGAGCCTCTCCTCCAGCAAGAAGTGGTGAAAGGCACTCAGGCACCATGAAGACAGAGGGTGCCTCAATAGCGACTCATTTCAATTACTGCTTCTGCCCCCCAATCAAGATTAAAGCCTATCCAGGCAGGCCAAAGCTCATTAGCTTGGTAATGAAGCACATGCAGAGATGCACGCAGAGAGAGAAACCAAGGGATGTAGAAAGAAGAGAAGCAGCTACAGCCATGGGGTGGGATTCACCGGGAATTCTAGCCCGTGTGGTGTGGAGTCACAATAAGCCAGTGTCTGATTGTTAGTGCCTGGCAGCATGCTGGGCAGATATAGCAGGGAACCCGCTGTGGGTTTGCTGGGGAGGCAAGAGCAGCATTCCAGGGCTGTAAGGCCCGACGGCATGCACAACACTATACTCCTGTGGATGAACTGTGTACAAGGGAGCTAAGCCTGGGAATGGAAAAACTAATCTGCTAACGTTTGCCCCGCTGTCTGTCACAGAGACACAACGTTCTCGCCTTTTACTCAAGCCAATAGGACAAATTAAATGAGGATTTAGTTGTAAAAATGAGAGGACAGGAGTTGGGGGAAGGAAGGATGGATGGAAAGATAGAAGAGGAAAACTGACAAAGAGAACTGAAGGACACTTGCAGTGACTAGAGGTATGAGAACTACATGAGACAACGACTGGGATGGATTAGAGACACATGGAAGGATTCAATCCAGGTTAGACAACTACTGCAAAAGAGGAAACCGGATTTGATAGAGCCCTAAGCAAACTGGGTCCTCTAGAAAATTGCTAAAGTAATTCCCCTTACAGAAATAGCCTCGAGACCCTCCCCACTAACTGGCCCAGCGGGTACACCCAGAAGAGGAGCAAGGGAAGCACAGAAAGGCCTGTCTCCCTCACCAAGCATGCTGCTGAGGCTGTGGATCTTCTCTAGGGCAGCTGGGACTTCGGCCTCCTCTTGCACCAGGGCCTCTACCTCACCCACAGCGTAGCCAAAGTCAGCTGTATCCAGGTCCACCCTGAGCGGCTGCTCCTCTTCATCAGCTCCGCGCGGCACCAGTTTCCAGGCACTACGCTTAGTCACAAAACTAGCTACTTCCTGCAGCCCCAGCGGGCCCAGCACAGCAGCCACGCCTCCAGCCCCCGGGACTTCAGCCCTCAGCACCTCACAGAGCTGGGCCACAACTGCAGGCTCAGCTGTGAGTTCCATGTACTTAGTGTGGGGTCCTGAGACACTTGCTGCTCCGGGACATTTGAGCTCCCATCCACTGCCCTCTCGCTGTCGGAGCCAGTAGTCGGCCCGCATGAGGCTCAGCTCAGGGGTGTCATAGTAGCTGTCTCGGAAAGTGACTCGGCGCTCCAGGGTACCCCCCAATTCCTGCAGCCGCTCCTCTGTGCCAGGGCCGGGAACGAACTTTCGCTCCACTTCAATCAGGCCCTGGGCCATGCTACCTGCAATCAGTCAATCAACAAACATTGGCTGAGCTCCCAAAGACCTACCCCCGGAAGAAGTTAGGAGGCGCACACACTGTCGCAGGGCTCTCTGTTGGGGGCCGTTCCTCCCTGCCTCTGTGATGGATGGCCCCTTCTTGTCTCTGATGTTCTAAGGTTCAGAAATAGGGATAAGTCTCCAGATAGACCCCTTCCACTGCTGAAAATGCCCTCAATCCAAAGGGCTCTCTAGAAAGCAGGTGTAGCGGGTAGCGGGTGTCCTTTCAACGCGCCCGCTAGACACCATGCTACCCCGGGAGGACGGCGGCTCACTGCCGGGGGCGACCCCACCCGATCCCCCCACAGCAACGGCCAGCGGAGCCTCGGGTCTCACCTCAAAGCCCCAGGATCTCCCTCTCGCGGGACCTGGAGAAGGGGGAAGGGAGCCCACGCCACGCCCGCGAGGAATGC